CGTATTGGACATTAATGGATCGTATTTGCTTTAATGGACCGTATTGGGTCTTAATGGATCGTATTGTTCATTAATGAACCATATTGGGTTTTAATGGACCGTATTGGACATTAATGGATCGTATTTGCTTTAATGGACCGTATTGGGCCTTAATGGATCGTATTGGGCCTTAATGGATCGTATTGTTCATTAATGAATCGTATTGGGTTTAACGGACCGTATTGGACATTAATGGACCGTATTGGGCCTTTAATGGATCGTATTGTTCATTAATGAATCATATTGGGCTTTAACGGACCGTATTGGACATTAATGGACCGTATTTGCTTTAATGGACTGTATTGGGCTTTAATGGATCGTATTATTGATTAATGAATCGTATTGGACTTTAATTGATCGTATTGGGCTTTAACGGACCATATTTGCTTTAATGGATCGTATTGGGCTTTAACGAATCGTATTGGACATTAATGGATCGTATTTGCTTTAATGGACCGTATTGGATCTTAATGGATCGTATGGTTCATTAATGAATCATATTGCACTTTAATGGACCGTATTTGCTTTAATAGACCATATTGGGCCTTAATGGATCGTATTGTTCATTAATGAATCGTATTGGGTTTAACGGACCGTATTGGACATTAATGGACCGTATTGGGCTTTAACGGATCGTGTTGGACATTAATGGATCATATTGGGATTTAATGGATCGTATTGGGATTTAATGGATCGTATATATAACAATAATAATAATATTAATTTTAGTGTTAATAACAATCAGATTTTAAATTTCATAATAATAATAATAATAATAAATTAAAAAGTAAATAATGTATTCAAAATACCGGCGGACTTTCCGCCGGAAAACGAAACTTTCAAAAAAATAGGCGCAACCGGTTGAATTTTAAAATTTTTAAAATTTCTTGAAAAATTTCCGGAAGAAAATTCGCCGGTAATTCAAATTTTTTTTTTAGTTTTTCTAGAAAATCAGGATAATTTAAAAAATATGAAATTATTATTTCCGGCGGAAATATCCGCCGGTAATCCGCCGGAAACCACGGGATATAAAAACTCATCTTCCCTCTTTTCACAGCCTCCACGCAAAAGAAAACCCTAAAC